ATGGGGAAGCAGCATTCTGATGAAATGGCACATGTGGGTGTTTGGGCTTTATATTGTATTTTAAGTGTCACGGGTAAAAAAAAGATGAAAAAGAGCTGGTTTTAGAGCTAGAATCTCACTAAGTGTAAACAGGCAATTGTTTATTGTGGAGTTGTTGTTCTTCACGTGTTTTCAAGGTTAGTCTATAGATCTTCCCAGCTCAAAGAACCAAGGAGCAATTGCTGCCTTCTCTATAAGCTCCCTCAGGTAGGAAACTGCAGTACTAATAGAAAGAGATATTTCTATTGCAAGTCAAAGGTAAAAATCATTATTTTACCTAAATGTCTCTTCTTATCAGTATTTTGAGTTGTACACTTAACTGCAGAGGAACATTTTGTCCTGAGGTACATGAATGGCCTTTTCTTACAGTGCTTGTTTTAACTGAGTGCGATAAAAATGTCACATTTCATGAAAATCTGTGGATTTTGCAGAGGCTCACAAGTAGTTGTGACATAAAAGAATTTTAAGCAGCAAAGCTCATATCCCACTTATGGTGGTGTTGTTAAATGAGAATGGAAATTTTGGAGACTATCCCAAGCTTTTTTTTTTGAGAGCAGGAGGGAACATAACAGAGCTAATTTCCACTTATCTGCTGCTTGAGAATATCCTTCCTAGCCAAGGAAACAGTACTGTCAGTAACCAAAGAGCTACATTCACTCCTCTTGTATTGTAGATTTGATTGTTGTGCAGATACACTCGTACGTAATTAAGAATTGGCAAAGATCTGCATTACCTAACTTTTGTTGAGATGTGCTTGTGATTGAGTTCTATAGTGACTCAAAGCTTCATACACAGTTCAGAAAATGCTTAATAAACTGGCAGACTGGTTGTACTTTTTGGTGTATCTTTTCAGCAACATAACCCTCCTGCTCCAGCCCTTGAGACTCCTGCTGAACAGCCCCTGTGCAGTTCAGGCTCGGCAGTCCTGTAACGTTATTCCTGCAGGGAGTTCTTTGCCAAGCATTCTTATTTTTGAATCGTGGCCCAAGAATGTCAGACCACAATACACAGTTAGTGTGCTTGACTATACATAGCATCTTGTTTACATCAAGACAGGATTAAAATTAGAAGTGTAGGAAGGCACAGACCAAGCTACTGGTACCTCCTCTCTGCTACCATATGTCCCTCACCTCTTGTCTGTGCAGTTTCTTTAGCCAGTGGCTGAGCACTAAAAATTACTGGGGGTTGCTTTGCAGCCTGTCTGGGTGCAGGTCCTTGGCACATGTGCAACTTATTCCTGTGGCTAAAGTATTTACAGGATTTGAAGAGTGTGCTTTTAAATCCCTCAACTATAAGCTCGTTCCTGACACCAGACATTCCGAGGGTCATCTGTGGCTTTGTACACGCACTGAATTCGGACTGGACCTTGCAACTCATAGTCTTTGCTTTGGTACAGTTACAAGAGCTGATGGTCATGTCAGCTCTGGATGTGCTAGACAGAGACTGGACACTGATGTGACTCTGGGTCTGCCTGTCCTGTCTAACCATGAGCTTGTTTCCTGAAGCAATTTTGGTTTGTGCCAATATGAGCAGCACCTGAGCATGGCTCAGGCTGGTGCAAGTCTGGAACTGTTCTAAATAGTTAAGGCCATGCTGATTTGGAAGGAAGGGAGTTGAGGTGTTTGGATCTGACACTGGCACTTGCCCTCATGATCAAAGAAAAGGCCCCTACATGAGGTAGCAGTACCAGTATTGCAGGGGGGCACCAGTGATCAGGAGCAGCAAAAGAATAAAATAATAGAAACCTGGAAGAACTGACAAAGGGATCCTTGACTGCCGTCATGCGTCTGAGCTCAGTAAAATTAGAAGCACAGCAGATGTCAAAAATCTTACAAGAATTGTATATTTTTAGTTTCTCAGAATTCTTTCAATTAAAATGAAGGGGAAGACCACAAGGTGAAAACTCAGGGAACATGTTTTTGTGGAGAAGAGGAGGAGAGAGAACAAAAATGTCTCCTCCTGAAATCTGAGCACATGTTCTAAAAACATGATCATGAGGAGTTGTATTTAATCAAGAACTTAAATCTAATGACTGAAGTGTGATTTAATCCTGTTTCAAGCGAAAACCTCCACAATGTTTTAACTGTAATGAATTTTTTTTGGCTACCAAAATTGCCATAATTTCAAAAGGGATTTAAAAGCCAGAATGCCATGAAAGGACATTGCTTGTGAATTCCACAAAATGTTAACTGCATTGATACTAATCTCATGGCAGAGTGAATATGCCAAATTCTTAACAAATTGTATTCAAATCCAAAGTGTATAAAAGCAGACTCTGTTCTTGAAGGGGAAAGTGCCAGGTAATCGCTTTGTTGCATCTCTGAGAGGATTATCTCACACAGAAGCCTTTCTTTTAAATGCAGGCACCATTATAATGAATCACTCAGATTGCTCCAGTCCAAGAAGGAATTCATGGAAAACAAACATCTGCATGAAAGATCCACCAGGGATTCCCTTTCTTGCCAGCACCCAGGTTGGTTCATAACTGTAAACGTGACTCTTTGTTTAGTATTAAAATCTGTGCAGCTGTACCAGGTTACACTGACAATGAAAAAGTTGAACAGAGTAGCTGGTGAGTGTGGAGGGCTGGAGCTGCCTGCCAAAAACAAGCCATGCCAATAGAACTGCTGGTACAGTGTTTTGTAATAATTCCCACTCAGACAGGAGGCCTTGGAGTTGTATTAAATCCGGGTTTTATAAGCATATCTTTAGCTATGTCAGAGATGTATGTTGTGGCCCTGCTTGTTTTGCAAAACACTGAATATATGAATAAAAAATACCAAAAATACAGGGGTTACTTAGAATTCTAATTCTAGTATTGGAAAACAAAGTATCTGGATACCACACCAGTGATGCTGATGCCTTGATGTTTACTGTGTTTCTGGCCAGAAAAGCTTCTGTTGACAGCAAAAGTGTGGCAGGTCCTGGAACAGTGTCAGTTCTCGGTTTCCTATTTAATCATATTCCCTGGCCCTATGACTTGCTGGGATGCTGCTAGATTTTTGATACCTTGCATTTTTCCTGTAGTATTGCAGCCTCTCTTGGACATGAATAATACATTTCAGTTGTTCGTGGTTGTTGATGAGTTGTATCTTAACAGTTGGTAGAGAAAAAAAGGTCTGCTTTTTGTGCATCATCACTGGGATGTTTCTTGTTTTCTGAATTGCCCATTTAAGGAGTTTGTAGAAGACTTGCAGATGTTTTAACCACTTACAACCACAAATAAGTGTAAAATGGAGGCAATACCTCCATCCTTCCCCTTCATTTGTATTCACGTGAATACGAGGCTGTGAAAATACCTGGGCAGTGTTTGGAAAATACTCAGATGGAATAATGATGAGTTACAGAGAAATGATTTGAGGAAAGAGAGAGTTCTGTGCTGGGGCTTAGGCAGTGGAGAGCAAATAAGAAATGGAGAGAAAACAGAAAAAAATGTACTGGTGAAGTATCCTTGGTCATTCCTACAAGATACAAAGTGAAAATGCCATGGCCATGTGACACAAAATGTCTGTAAAATATTCTGCCCATTCAAATTTGTCTAAAAGTGAAATAAAATTTGGTAGGTTATCTAACTAGGTTATTGTAAGGCAGTTGATTAGATACAGTTTGTCATAATTCTCTTCATTTGTTTCTCCCCCTTTTTGGCTTGCTTGAGTGGAGGAAGAATTCTCCTTTACCTTTGTACTGATAATATTTGATATGCTGAGTGATGATGAAGTAGGTGGTAAAGTAATTGTGACGAGACACATAAAATCTAAACTGATTTTTTCCTCGCAGCCTTTTGAAAAAATCACCAAAACCAAACTGGAGTAAAGCTAAATTATTTTTAAAATAGGGGGGAGGTGGGTATGAAGTGATGAGTTAAAACCAATTTTAAGTAAAAACTTCCTAGAAAACTGAGCGAGGATAGACATCTCTTATTTCCTGTTGTCTTTCCAGTTCTACCAGAATTAAAGCTGCTCTGTGGAGCTGATTTTCTACAGACATTTAAGACCCCCAATCTCTGGAAGGAAGAAGACATCAAAGAAATAGTGGAAAAGTTTGGTTTGGTCTGTATTAGCCGGGCTGGCTCTGATCCCTCTCAGTATATCAAGGAATCAGACCTTTTAACTCAATTCCAGCACAATATCTTTCTGGTGAAAGAATGGGTTCAGAATGAAATCAGTGCAACACGGGTCCGCTCTGCCTTGCGCCGAGGGCTGAGTGTCAAATACCTGCTGCCAGACTCGGTTATATCCTACATTGCACAGCACAACATCTACACGGAGGAGAGCGAGAGGAGGAATGAAGGGGACCTGCTGCAGCCTCTGAAACTGCAGAACCCAACAGGAACCCCCCCGAGGGACTGATGTCTGCAGGGGCTCACCTCCACACACAGCCACTTTGTCCACTGAGATTTCTCCAGAAAGTTGTTTCTTGTTAATAAAGAGAAAGCGCATCAGTCCCAAATGTCTTGAAATCATGTGGTGTTTTAAACAAGGCAGTGCTTAAGCAAATGGGGATGCTCAGCTGCACAGGTTAAAATATAAAAAGAACAGCTTCCTTGTGAAAATAGAAGGAGATCTGCATAACGAATGGTCATCTTTAGTAATGCTTAAAGGTCAAACACAGTACTTTCCTAAATTGTAATTCTGTAATCCTACAGACTGTTTTAGCGTGAAGATGGCTTACTGTTTGAAACAGCAAAATATAATGAACCGTAACTTTATACAGATATGTTTAAATATATGTTAATGCTAAAATTTGACTTTATAAGACCCTAAAAAAACTTTTTGAGTTTTGGCAGTTTGGCCAAGAGATGGAAATATATCTTTCTTTCATGCAAGCACTTAAAGACATGTGTAACACTTATGCCACTTTTGAGCCTCTGCATTCTCAAATTCCAGACAATCCTCATCCCCGTGTTTAAAGTGGGTTTCTTTACTTCTCTGATCCAGAGTCTTCTGTAAGGGTAAGTCGTTGCCAAAGCCCCAGAGTAGATAATATATCCAAGAGGAACATCACTTGTTCCATTGGAAAATAAACAGTGGAAAATAAATGAAATTATTAATAGGGCTCAGTCTTTGAGCCATAATTTTAGCCAGAAAAATCTGTTCTCTTCTGTGCTGGTTGCCTGTTGTGCTGAATCAGTATTTCTCATTTCTGACAGAAGACACCTTCAAAGAATATAGAAACTCTTAAAGTGTTATTTTTGTGTTTCAAAGTTTCTTAAATTTCATGTTCAGTAGTGATGTAGCATTTATCAATATACACAGCTAACCACTGCTTCTTAATACAAGTTTCCACTTCACTGGCCCTTTTAGAACCCTTAGTTGGCCAAACAGCTTCCACTGGTAGTTCTCTAGAATTAAGGAGCTTGGGGAACAAGATGAAGTAAAGCCAGACCCAAATTGCTTTCACTGAAAGAGTCTGTATGATTGTTTTCTGGAAAGAAGAAGGTATAAAGTAGCTGAAACATATTCAAGAAAGAAGATTTTGCCTCAAAAACCATACAGGATAAGCCCTTGTATAGCTTTGGCTGATATCCTAAACTAAAGCTATTTAAAAGGCTTTTTTTCTGAGTGGCATGAGAAATGAAGAGTAATATGGTTCAAATGGATCTCCCTTACAGAAGTTACATGAAAAGTGAAAGTTTCATTGGGTTTAAATCAAGTCATCCTGGTGTCATTAGAACCCCCGAGTTCAGCCTAGTGGAAGGGTTGGAAGGCAGCCCTTCAGCAGTAATCGGATTAGGAGGACTCGCATAGCTCTGTGGGCTGAACACCAGATAAAAGAAAGCAGAGCTGCAGCTTGCCCGAAGAAAGGCAGTGAGCTGTGTGGGGAACCATCAACACACGCTTCCAGGGCTTGGATTTTGACAGTTCCCTAAAGTAGGGATGCCTGTGGATTTCAATGGGTACTGGAAAATGGTCAGCAATGACAATTTTGAGGAGTATCTGAAAGCACTGGGTAAGGTCCCCTTTGTACTTCTTCAATAAATAATCAATAAATGCCACCTTGGTCCTTACATTAATCTATTTTTTTTTTTGGTATAGTCATAAATCATTTTCATGAGAAATGTTTTCTTCAGGAATGCACTTTAAGAATTGCCTTAAGGAAAATTATTTCACCTGAAGCAGCCTCTACTTTTTATCATCTTGAAGCTTACATTAACAGGGATTAAACTACATAGCTTGAAGGGGGGGCAGATTTCAAACCATAATTTGAAAAGAGTAAAATTTTTATGTTTAATAAAGAATCAGTACTGTACACTATGGAATGTTGTGTGTTTGTATTTGATGTTAAGTGTTAGTATTTCTAGAGAAATACTCAAGGCCTTATGAACTGCCCAATACAGATTTTTTTTAAGATTCCACGAAATGAGAAAATTGAAACATTAAGTTATTGAAGTTAAAAGAATTAGGTTGTGGACTTTTCCCTGATGAGAAGGCTGGCCTGAAAGATCTGGACATTTTATTTATCTTTGTTCCTTTTAGTTCTCCCCAAAAGTGACAAGCTTATTTTTGTGGATGACTTTTCTGGATAAAAATAATTGTTTTTCTTTTTCAGACGTCAACGTTGCCGTAAGAAAAATAGCAAACTTGGTAAAGCCTGACAAAGAAATCCTTCAGGATGGGGATCATATGATCATTAAAACTCTAAGCACTTTTAGAAACTACATCATGGAATTTGATATAGGAAAGGAGTTTGAGGAGGATTTATCCGGGGTGGATGATCGCAAATGCATGGTAAGAATTAGAACTGTAACCACGGGCAAAAAAAAAAAAGAATAGTACTAATCTGAGGCCTTTCACAGAGCTCATCTGTTACCTTTTTGGGGGGCTGTTCCTAAAATTATTTCTATATTTCTCAGTTGGCCAAGATGTACCTACAGTTTTGGGCATGCCTTTACTAATTTTAATCAGGAGCACAAAGCAGTTTTGTCAGTGAGAATTGATTTCATTTCGATGAAAATTTGCTCAGTTACACCAGGATATTCATTAGTCAAAAAGGCATCTCAGTTCCTTTTCAGAACCTCTTCACTGGATGATGTTTTATGGCAGAGGAAATGCACTGATTGCAGGACCAGGCACTAGTCCCCACATGTAAGAATGGCCAAGTACTTGAGAAATTTATATAAGTTAATTAAAATTATAAAGATATATTACGTAAAAATTATTATATGCATTTATTGGAGCAGACACATTAATTACTGGAACAAATATTACTGAAATGAACAAACAGGACTCTGAGCTGTGACTCTTATGAGCTCTTTTTGCTTGCCAGGGAGACAGTAGTTTTTATCTTATGACTGATAAATAGCAATTAACAGGGGAAAAACTTGAGAATACCAAGTTCTCACCTTTTAGTTTGAAAGCATGATGCTGGCAATATTCTACAGTGAAGAAGTTGGTAAACAAAAGACAGTTAACTCAAGAGGGACTATAGAGGAGAACTCTACATCTAGATAAAAGAGAATCAATAGATTTCCAAGAAAGATGGTGCCATTTAAAGCCAATACTTTTATCTAACACTAGGATGTGCAAATTTTCTTTTGCTCAGGTCATGGCAGGAAAGGGAAAGATTGTGGAGACCAGAAAAAAAAGAATGGCTCCATGCTGAATGCCTCAAGTAACCCCTCTGTACTCCTTGTTCCAGAGGGTCCAAGTGTGCTGGGAGTGCAGAATCCAAAAGGCACAGAAGGGAGGAGCACATGGATTTGTGAACAGGGAAATACCCCAATGACACAATGCATTTTTGACTCCTGGAAGGCTCTTAATCGGGATAATGAGGTCCAGATGCACTGAAAAGTTGTGAGCCCACAGAAAGATTTGACTTAGGTGGCTCAATTCCCGTTGGAGATAGCAATGTTCAGAACATCTGCTCACGGTGTTGGTGTGCACAGAGCTGTCTCCATCTAAGCATTATCCGTACTTAAATGCCATTAAACTCCCATTTAAAGGAGGACTAAACCATCCTCTACGTGGCAGAAAGAAGTCTTTGTGCTCTGAGGCTGCCTAGCAAGTGCCTGCATTGAGTTCTTACAAAATGTGTAAGAACCAAAAAATCAGATTCAGAAGACAGGGAAATGTGGTCCTTGCCTAATCCTGCTTTCAAAGTGCTGAATAGATTTAACACACAACTCTTGATTTCTTGAGAAATATCCTAAATATTTCCTTATTTGTAATAAGCAAAAATTTTCTACCCTATTTTGCTAAACTGAGTGATAGGGAAGAATTCAAAATGTTAAACCAGAAAGAAGAAACTAGAGGAAGATCATTTTAGCCACTACAACAGCTATTTGATTTGGAGTAGAACCTAATTCACCTTACTTTCAAAGGTTACTCAAGCATTTTATCTATTTACTGTTTGGTGCAAAATGTTTATTCAGCCATGGAAGCAGAAAGTACCATCACCTTCTTGCCTTTTCAAAAAAAAAAAAGAAATCAGAGGTAATCACTGATCCTGACTGGTTTTTTTGTTAAGAATGACTTAGGGATGTAACTCCACAAAACCCTCCAGAGGTCTCCATGTCTCTTTATGGCCTCCAAGAACAAATTCCAGCTGCAGCTGTACAGTTCAGGTCACTGATCCCTGGTTCTCTGCTTGCCTTGTAGCAACGTATCACACTTAATAGTTCCATTTTCCAATTAAAGATTTCTACATGAGGCCTCTGTTTTGTCAAAGGCAAAACAGTATAAGAAGCACTGTCTTTCTGAAATCACTTCAGTCCAAATCTGATAAACATGAGGAAAAATTTGCAGTTGTTAAGCAGCAAAATAACTCCACCAATGCAGAAAGAGTCCTGTGAGAGCAGGGTCATGGAGGCTACAGGAGATACTGGACCCCTCCCTGAGTGGTGTTATGAAGAATACCACCATAAAAGCAAAGGTTGAATATTGTTCTTGGAGTTTCCTTTGCTCAGCTGGAGCTTGTGGAACTGCCTCCATAAATGGCTTAATCATTAATAGTCAGACTGTGTAATGGGAGAGATTGTGAATCAATTATTGTTATTTATGTTGTGGACTGAGCAGACCACTGGGCAAGTTTCATCCAAGTAGCTCAATGTATGAGCAGTACAAAGTAACATGGATAAGACAAATTGCACATTAAACATTAATCTGTATAGCAGAGCAATCATCAGGAGAGCAGCAAAAACAACCTTAGAGGTAATTCACCCTATAGGTATGGATCATTTTTCCTTTTAATGAAGAATATATCATCTCACTAGAGTTAACATAATGTTAGCACAGTGAACAGGTTACATCTTGTGTGTAATTCACTGAAATTGTGTTCACCTTTCAGTTGTAGAACATATCCTTGAGGCAGGCAGGGTAGAGTGTAACTACAGTAATTTCAAATCGATACTGTCCATAGTGAGAAAAGGCTAAAAAGCTTTGCTGATCCTTATTTTAGAAGTAAGTTGAAGTTTTGACGCTGGGAGTTGATACTCCTGTGGCAGTACAGGCTCTCTCCTTCATTTCCCTGAAGGCTCTTTCATTTCTCTAGTTGGTCACTCCCAGAAGCCTGTCTGAACTTTCTGGATCAGTGAGTTAATTGAGCAGGATAAACCTCAGGAGGTTCAGTTTGTCCTTCTTTTGACCCTGAACTGTCTCTTCCTTGTATGCACATGTTTTAGGTGACTCTTTAAGATTTTGTTTCTGTGGGGAAGTGAACGTGTGCTAGTCTGGAATCTTGAGAAACTCAGAAGTTTCTCCCTTAGTTAAAGATGCAGTTTCTCTGTTAGTTGCCCACACAGGAGAGATCCCTAATCCCAGTGCAAGGTACTTCCAAGAGGGCAGTTGGTGTCATTGCCTTACTGAAAGCATGGATGGATCAAGCTGCAGCACAGCCTGGTCTGCTAAGGAATACAGACACCTGCATTCTCTGAGCCCCAGAATGCTGCCATGCTGCTCCTCCAGCTTTCCCCCAGAGATTTTATCTCCTAGGGAAAACTTAACTGACAGTTTCTCTATTTATTTGGCGATTTCAGCAAAGTGTTTCTGCAGGTGTAATCATACTTAATATTCAGGGTTGTTAAAAACTTGGCAGTTGGAAGTACAAAGGTACAATGAAAGCTGACAGATTCAGGAACCTCTTTTATTTTTTGCAAATATTACAAGGAGCGCAAGATGTAGAAAGAAGTTTAGAACATTAATATTGTGTTACATTTTGTCTCCTGAGATGTGAATTGGACCATGAAGTAAAGTTTCTGCTACTCTGGAGAGTTTGTTCATGGTTTTAATTGGTAACATATATCAGATGGATAGTGTACCAAGACAAATTTAAAGTGAAACAGATAACTCTGGCTTTGGTATTTCCTGCACTGAGTATTTGATCCTGCTACCTTAATTCTTAGTGAAGCTCCAGTCTCATCATGAGATTTCCTCAGTTTTAAAGATAATGTCTGTAATCTCTCATCATGATTAATTTAGTGACTGTCTCAGGTACTGCACTAAGTATGAAACTTTGTTTCATGTGTATAAACATTAGTGTGGGAAAAATTTATTGTGCAGAAAAGAGGCAAGACCTTATTGAAACAACAATTAATTGAAAACCATCTCTGAGAGTATATCCCATTCATCAGCAGGTAATTTTGCTTTCCTTTTTCACCACCAGTAATAAACAGTGGAACTGAGGAGTCATCTGCAATGTATGTACCAGCACACATAAAAACAGGGCAGGATTTGACACTAAGCAGAAAATATAAGCCTTCAAAGTGTATTTGCATAATATATAGTAAAAAATTTACAAAAATATTAACTGAAAAAAACTTAAAAGCTGAAACAAAGGCTGAAGTTTCACATTCCAAGTCTTTGCACCCAATGAATCAAAGCAGCTTGAAAATGGGATAGCTCAGATGCAAAAATTACTTTCCTAGAATTTTTACTTTTCTAATCATTTTGCTGCTGAAGTCCGAGGAAGCTTGTGCATTGTAATTTGTCTCTGCTGTTCAAGCATTTGACTGAATTTCTTTGGCTCACACTATGCTGACAGAGACTAAGGGCTGTTTAAAAACTCAAGGAAGATTTTATGTTCTAAATATGGACCAGCAGAATTCCTTGGATAACTGCAAACAGTGTTAGTTGCATTAGAGCTGCGGATTTGGCCGAGCACGTGAGGGCTGCTCCGGTCATTCAGAGCCTTGTGCTCTCTGGCAGAGTAGTTTTCTTCTGCCATTGGAGTGGGAAATGACATGACAATGAGTGGGAACTGGGAAACAGAATATGGGAATAATAATATTAACCAGTTAGTTAAAAAAATTGAATGTAAGCAGAATATAACTGTGAATAATTTATCAAATGAGTATTTAGTGTTCCTTTTTTGGAACTATTATAACTTCTAGTCATAAGTAAGACTTGCTGGGGTGGGGTAGGGTGAGGATTTGGGAGCTGTAGAATTCACTCATCAGAACTATCATCCATCTTAACCATATGAAGTAGTTCCTGAAAATATAGTCAATTAATGTTTAAGACAGCCACATAAGGACTGTTCATAGGCACCTGTTACATGTGCCTGATCCTACTGAGGGGAGATAAGTTGTTTGAAACTGCAGTTTTAATTAACAAAAATGCCTTGTGTGACACTGATTCCTCTCTAGTTTATATGAAGTTTGGTTGTTCTGGACAGAATTTGATTTATACCACTGCAAGGTCAGGATAAAGCCCTGTTACAAAATCACATGGCTCATGAAGCTTATTTAACTATTTAGGAAAGGTTCTTCTGTTACACAAATGGAATTCACAGCTCTTAATCTAGTTTAGAGTAGGTTTTGGAATTAAGACTTTGTTGCTAAAAAAACAACAACTAACATTCCAATACTTAGAATTTCAGTAGGGATCCCCACAGGATGAGAAGACTCACATTGTGCCTGTCTAGTAAAATGCAAGATCATCAATATGTCTTTACTTGATCCTTCTGGTTGAGCTGGTTTGTTTCTTTACCCTTCACATTCTGCCCTTTTTGGCTTGTAGGTATTTTCTCATAAATTGGTTGGCTCAAGCATTGTTCTGGAATCACTGTAGCTGGGAGTAGTCTTCTCCCAAATTTAGTGCCCCCTCTCTCTCTGCAGCACTGTATTTTCCCCAGCTCCTCACTGGCATAATCACTGATTACTTTTTTTTAATAGTTTAAAAGAGGGAGACTTTCATGTAGTTTTCTGTTGATATTTCTGACCTTTTACAAACTGCTCTCCACAAGTGAGGAAGAAAATCCCTCCAGTAAATCCCCTTGAGGTCTGGAGAACAGAGGTCCACTCCTGGCTCTGTCTCAGGCTCTCTCAAACTCTAGTTCATCCTGTCTGTGCCTCAGTAAAGAGGGGCTGTTTCCTTTCTCCTGCCTGGTTTCACCCTGCCTGCTCTTTTGGCATCACTGCTTATTGCCTGCAGGTGAAATGCTCAGCACATTCACACAGTGACAGCAGATGAGATCTCCTGAATCTTTTGCCATATAATTTGTCATAAACTTCGAATTTTGCAGTGCTGGATTCACGTCTAAAATCTGAGACTGATCAGAAGCTTTTGAGCTAGTTATTCACAAAAGCACTGCTAGCACACTGAAGTTCTGTAGGGAACATGGGTTTGGATGGGTTTAGCATTTCAGCTTTTTGAGAATTCTGAAAAGCTCTGAGAGTTATGAATGCAGAAAGTACAATCAGAAAGAATCAGTTGAAAAGCTGAGAACCAGATGCAACAAATCCAATTTTGAATGGCAAGCCATTAGTGTTATGTACAATTGCATCTTGCTAAAATTACACAGGGGATAAATCAGTTATACACGTTACTTTAAACAGTGAGTGTCTTAGAATCGATTCTGATCCTTGCACAAAGTGAATTGGATGTGCTGGTTTTTACTCCTTTTTTTTCTGGCATAGGATATACACAGCTCTTCCTATTTTTGTATTACTTGTATACAGTTTTATTTCAGTAGGAAAAAATATCCACCATGCCTAAGAAATGAAGCAATATGCACTGTCCAACATATTGATTCTACCCCTCCTCCCACATACTGCCAGCTGCATGGCCTGCAGCTTTTCCACTACTCCCTGCACCATTATCGTTACTCGTTGCTCTTATGAGCAAGGATTCAAAATAAGGCATTGGAACATTTAGAATCTGCTCCTATCTGACAGCAGCTTACCTTTGATCTAAAACTTGACAATCCAATCCTAAGCCCCTTTCCTAGCCATTCTAGCAATGGAAATGCTGACAGTAATAGAAGCAAAGAAGACTTTATCATGACCTAGGTACAGTGTGGCTAAATATGGCCAGCAACAGGATCTTGGGATAAATCCAGGAATCCAAACACTGATTTTTCTGTTGGGTTTGTTGTTTTCTCAGTGGTTTCTCTCTCTGTCACCAACCTACCAGACACAGATTTGAGGAGATAAAAGAGGGTACAGGACAGAGAAGATGACAAACCCTGAGTATGGCTGGAGCCTCCTGGCAGCAGCGTGCAGCCTCCTCCACAGACCACAACAGTACGGAATGTCCCTCCACAGCTACGTTAGACTTTGGCTGTGACATCAACATTAGTTTATTCCATCAGCACTTCATTTGATGAAAATTTCCCCTGCAAACTGCTTACCAGAGGTTTTTATATCACTTAGATACTTAGGACAGATGAAAATGCTTTATCTTGAGAAGCTATTGGATACCTAGTTGGATATATTGCCACGTGTGACCAAAAGTTCCGGGATATTTTCTTTGGTGTTATTTTTAAACACTGTACAGGACACAGCTCAAATTGGATTTTCCTGTGTCATCTGACCTAAAAAAATGACTTTCCATTGTTTAATCCTTCTTAAATCATAATTACAGTTGTAAAATGACATGTCGTTCTCACAAGCAGGGCCTTGCTGGATTGAGATGGAGCTCGGTGTGCACTTTTGGAGCTTTGCAGTCGCTTGCTGCACCATATATAGAGACAACACTCTGAAGGGAAGCAGGAGAAAAACAGAAGTGGTACTGCTGTGTTTCTCCTGCAGACAGGAAATCAATAACATAGTTTGGATGAAAGGTGGTAGCTGCAGTTCATTTTTGTAAATGCAACGTGTCAAAAATCTATGTAGCATTAACAAAAAATGTTCATGAACTACTTTGAAAAAAGTTATTTTCTTTCATTTGTCTGTGAAATACATTATGTACCTTCAGGTGCAGAGCACCTGACACAAAGCAGCACAGTAGGAAGAGCCAACAGGGGAATGGGAAGCATTGTGCAGAGCCAGCATCAAATGGTTTTGCACTTAGACCTCACTGGGAAATGCAAAGTTCTCTGATAACATATTGATGACTATTTCAGTAAATGACAAAAGTCACCATCTCTGGCTGTGGGACAATATGACTTGCCACTAGAGGCTGGAATTGTGCAAGACTTCACTACTGTTACTGGAGAAAAAGCAAATACATAAGTCAATGATGTGATTTGGTTTTATTAAATATTTCATTTAATAAATCTCTCTTGTCTCATAACTGAAAACGGTGATGAGAATATTTTAATCATAATTTCTTCCAGCTTTAATTTTCAGGAAGATGGTGCTGCTATGCACATGAATTTAAATCTTCATAGCACAAAGAGATTAAATCACTAGCTAAAGTGTGTGAATGACCAAGTAATGAAAGGAAAATACCAGAGTACAGAAAAAGTGTAAGATTACAGAAACCATAGCATAAAACTAAAGAAAAATTGAACTTTTTTGTGTTCTCAGGCTTCAAAGGCTTTTGCATTTCCCAGAGGAGCTCCATTGTCTATTATTACTCTTCAAGAACAAAGAGTATGTAGTCTGAAAAATGTGCAATATTGTTGGTTAGAGTTTTTGAGAAGAGTTAAATTAAGGCAAGACTCACTCTTATTTATCTTACTCCCTTACCTTTTCTTGTGTACCTTCAGTATTTTTAATGGCACATTAATCACCATTCTCTGTTGAAGTTTCCTACAGAATTATATGCATGTGACCTAAGAAGTATTCATTTTAGGTTTAAGGATGATCAGGCAGTGAGTAAGCAAAATTTAGGTGTGCTTATGACAAATTAGATTATGTACTACCTAGTTAAAAGGAATAAATGATGGCTTCCATTTATCCTGCAGGAATCTTCAGTTTTAGAGAAATACTACATTTTCATCTCCTTGGTTCTGTTACCATCAGGAAACTGCAGTTTTCAGTGTCCTCTGAGTTAGTGTGCCTCTGCTCTTGCTTGTGGAGGAAGGTGAAGAACAGGAACTGCCTGCCTGGGCAAGCTGTGTCCACCAAACCCTGGCAAAGGTTTCCAGCCATGGCTCAGTGTCTGTAGTCAGGCAAAAACCTTAGGTAACACTATTATCAAAACGGGGGCAAACAAGGTTAATTATAAAGGCCTACTTTTCTAAGAAAAGTAGCTTGGCATAAAAGGTGAAGTGTTTCTTTCTCTTGATAGTGTGTGCCAGGAGGGGAAAACAACAGCAACTGAAGGCTCAGGCAGAGCTGCCTTAGTCTGTTCCAGTGCTTGGCTCTTGATTATGCTGTGGTGAAATCTGGATCCAGTCTTCAAAGATAAAATCTTTGCTCTTATATACAACAAAAGAGATGATGTATACCAACATTTGCCCTACAGAGGTATTTTTGGAGTGTTATTTTTATATTCTGACTCCAGTGTTTGGGAATGTTGTAAGGCAAGCATTGCTCTGTCTTAGGTGTTGGTGGAGGGTGCAAATGTAGCAGCCACAGCACCTCTGACCTCAGCTGCCACTCACTGTGTGTCTCAATAGAGATGTTTGGAGAGGAAGAACTTGTTTCAGTCTGAGTTGAAAGAGAATTTTCTATCTTCTGTATTAGCATGCCTTTAATAAAAGAGACATTGAGACATTACAGTGTGACCTAAAGAAAGACAAGATAGAGGTGCTGCTGATTAATCTCACTGTCATAGAGGGGTTGTTCTGCTAATAACGAAAAGGACATTATGTTCTCCTGCAATATTCTGTCCTTTTTAACCTTCAGAACAAAATAGCTACATACAAAAATCAGAAATTGTATGGTTTACTCATATCCCCTCAGCATTTATATTTCTCCAAGGGAAGGCAGAGGATGATAACCGAGAATATTGCCTGATAAAGCAGCTTGGTTAACGGTCTGTGGTATTATACTCTTTGTGGTTATCGCCAGATTGCAGAAAGCAATATCTAATCTTGACTGGAAAAACAAGAAAGCCAGAGAAAAAAGTGTGTTGTTTTCTGAGATGAAACAATTTCAGTCACCCTTGGAGGCTAAAAAGTTAACATTTCCTTGAACAGCTACAAATATTTGTGAATTGCCCCCAAATGTACTAAGCCGGGGAATATTATTGGGCCTAATAACTTTCACAACTGACTTTGAACATTAATAGTTGGATTAATAAAGTTGGATCTTACTCTGTCATGGTGTATTGCCTTTGAATTCCCATATAAACCCATAAAAACTATTAAGGTAATCTAATGATTAAACTATGCTGAGCTAATACTCAACAGATACAAGTAAGTGCAGTTACTAAGCAAAGTTGCTTAGTGCAAATGCTTCATTCCTCGGTATCCCTCACATGTACAGGTTATCATTCATTTTCTGTTATATTCATTTTCAGAATCAGAAATTCTTAGATATGTTAGCTTATAAACATTTTTGACTTTGAATCTGTAGACATCCACTTAGAGACAGAAGATAGCAAATAATAGGAGTCAAACAGAGGAGAGGATTTATATTGTGGGTGAGCACATAAACTACTGTTTTACTCAAATTTGTTCCTTCCTGCATTAGCATTTTTTACACTAAGAGGATATGGTTTCATTAAAATGTTATCTCATCATCATGGCTGGGCTTCGTGAACGAAGATTAGGGGAGGGCTCTACCCACGTTTGTTACAAGCACGTTGGTGGCTAAAAAGGCCAATACAAGACAGGCACGTCCGATTGCAAAAGGCACAGCAGAAAGACTCCTTGGGTGGTACATTCTGCAAGACGCGATTCTTTCTGTGTTGTCTTTTCTCCTCAAGGGTGATCCTGTGTGCTTTCTCAAAAGCATCAGCAGCGTTATAGATGGTGTGTCTCCAGACCTCCCAATTGGAGGCCAGAGCAGACCAGTTATGGTGATCAATATGGCCAAGGCTGAGATGTTGTTTCAGGGAGTCCTTGTATCTTCTCTTCAGGGCTCCTCTCTTGCGGCAGCCGGTGGCAAGTTCACCATAGAGCAGGATCTTAGGGAGGGGGTGGTTGGTCCTTCACCCTTGGGACGTGCCCTGTCCATCTCAGCTGTGTTCTCAGCAACATGGCCTCTATGCTTGTGACTGCTGCTTGTTCTAGAACAGATGGATTGGTCACATAATCTGACCAGTGGATGTTTAGGATTGTACAGAGACAGTGTTGATGGAAGCCTTGTAAGAGTCGCAGGTGGTGGCGGTAGATGACCCATGATTCAGATCCATATGAAAGAGTAGACAGCACTGTGGCTCTGTAAACACCGATCTTGCTGCATGCAAGACGAAAGGCTGCTTTTCTCACATGACAGGATGGCAGTGCAAGGTGTGCTTGGTGGGCGGTTCTCTTCTTCCTCAACAATTCCTGGATCTCTTGATTGTTTTCATCAAACCAGTCCTTGTTCTTCTTGAAGGAGACCCCTAAGGATTCTTCAGAGGACTGCAGGATGCTGGTTTTAGTATGCTGGGACCGGGGCTGGGCCGCGCTGCACGTGAAAATATTATCTACTACTTGGTTTAAATACATCATTTTCCAAAAGCAAACAGAAGAATTTGCAAATGCGTTTTCCAAACTGAAGAGATTTTTAGCAGGGACACGTGAGTTTGTCTTTCAGAGACCCCCTGTGGTGCAAAGAGACTATATGTGATCAATACCAATGCCTTGCCTGTGATTATCTATTCTGGCACTCCTTCTACTGATTCATTTTCCATGCTTGTTTAGTCTAAAGCTTCCCGCAGTAGGAGCCTGCTGGCTGTACTCATGCAGAAATAGTGGCTATCTTGGATATCATTTAAGAATTAATTGTTTGTGACATGCACAGATTAAATAAATAGGACCACGTAGTTCCTGAGTGTTGAACTGGCATTAATTCCCAGAATGAAAAATGGAGGCTGACTTCTCTTAGAAACTACACAGGATGGATGCAAGAAGTTTCCCTTAATGACAGATCAGAATTCATCATCTCTCCTGATCTGGCTGCAGGCAGTGGCTGAAGGCTTTTACAAGATAGACAGTAATTTCATATTTAGTCCTCAGAGCCACTTCAAACAAGCTGATTTAAAAGCCATGTGCTAATATTGATGTTAAATTATCCGCATGGAACACAAATTGTCACTGCTCTTCCCTCTTTAAATATTGCTCCTCTTTATCTTAGGGAGATGTGAAAGGCAAATTGTCAAGCAACACTAACCAGAGTAACAAGCTGGAGGATGCACCATCGTGCATTTAAATAGTTTTATGAATCAAGTTTTACTGAACTACTCAGGACAGCACCAATATTCACAAAAGTGCTGTGTTGAATACTGTAACACGTGACTCTCACTCTCATTTGCCAGTCCTGGCTCAAGTAGTTCCCCAGCCTCAGTTAAAAGGCGGGATGCTGGCAAAGTCACCAGTTTGCTGATACTTCCAAACCACTCTGCTCGATGAAGGAAGGCAGATTAAGACATGAGTTAAAACCAGCTCAGTATTCAAAAGCCTTGTTCATCCATAATGCTAGGAAGTGGGAATTTTTTTCAGGTGGTGCAGCTGGGGAATCATTCTTAGGGTGGAAGAACCAAAGTGAATCTCAAGTTTTCAGCTCCTTTTGTAAACACAGCGTTAGGCTGCAGAGCCCTTCTCTGCTGTGTTTGTCAGTAGGGAGGGAGCAGTGTGCTCTCATCATCAGTGATTTTGATGGTATTTTTTCTTGCATTTAAACAACTTTATCTCATCCTTCCAGTTTTTGCAGGCAGTTGGGCAGCATCTTTCTGTTCGGGCTCATTTCTTTTGTAGTTACCCTAAGTATTATAACACTCTGCAATTCTTACGAGATACATTAATCATTAATTACATTAGAGATAAGTTTTGCTTCGTGGAAACTAATCATAAAATCAGAGAATACTGTGGTAACACTGAACATGTCTATTTTGTTAGACCACTGTATCTTGGGATGGAGATAAACTTCTTTGTGTACAGAATGGAGAAAAAGAAGGTCGTGGTTGGACCCAGTGGATTGAAGGAGATAAAATGCACCTGGTAAGATCATGTAAGAGGTTTTAAATGCCACTCTGTTAAAATGGTTGGATGTAACACAGCAGGGGATGTGCTGTTGTTTGGGCCACTTGGACATAATTATGTATCGGTGCAGCATTTGACTTGTTTCTAAAGCAACAATGTCTTTTAGAGCCATTACACTTTTGTGTCCCTTACAAAGGCTGGTGGTTTCAGAGCACTACTCTGTCTGTTTTAACTGTCTGTCCAGACATGCCAGGCTGAAATGTTCACACTGAGGAAGACATTTGACAGAATGTCCCTCTCACAGTTTCTGAAATACTCAGTATGGGAGCTGGTAAAATTGCACACCCAACACTAAAGGGAAAATACATCATTGTTCTTTTAAAATAATTACAGGTCACACTGCATTATAGCCTGCAGAACTAAAACAGCAATTAAGTTTTTGAAATGTATGTTTTTCAGATCATCATTTTTATCTTTCTGAATTAACAGGACCTGAAAGAAGATGCTATTCTTTTATCCTATAAGGCTTTATAGCAGCCTCACTCTCTCATCAGTGTGAGTAAAAGGCAGTCTTCCTGCTGAGATAGTAAAATCCAGCCTCCATTTCTGTTCAGGACTCTTAGTATTCAGCAGCCTAAATGGATGGTCTCTAAATATTCAAATCAGTAGCAGAACTATGAAATCTTTGCAAAAGTATCGCAAACCTCTCCTAAACACTATTTTCAGGAAGTCTCAGAAACCAGTTCAGGAAAGGAATATATATGACATCTTACCCACTGGACTAGGTACTTGATCCAATGCAGGTAGGGAGAAAGTTGCTCAGTGATCACCTTAGAGCTGAGGCCCTGGCCTCTCACAAAGTAGGGGACCAAGCAATAAGGAGAGTCCAGAATTGCCTGTACACACATTACCAATGCTATTCAGCACCTTACAGTATTTCCACACGGCCTCCCAGCTTCCCAACAGCTGCTGCCATGACACTGAGCATCAGCCCTTTCAGATTCTCTGCTGGCACACAGGTTGCAATGACCCATTACAATGTCTGGCCTAGAAGCTGAGTATACACCTTGCTGCACTCAGCCATGCACATCTCTGCACTCATCTGAAAGATATATGACATATGTGAAACAAGAGCACTAGTTGCTCTTGCATTTCTCTGCGTTGGCATCCTGGTTTCTGTCCCTCACCAGCTCTGCAGTCATTCTCTATTCCCATTTCCTGTCCCCAGCATGGATTTCTTTAGTCCTGAGTGCTGCTATCCACACAGCCTGCCCATGGACCTCCAGCCCAGACCACTTTCTATACTTGTCCCTGTCAAGAGGTTGATTTTAGAAGTCGGAAAGTGCAATTCAGTTTCTCAAATATATGTCTCCAGTGCCACTCTGGGTACCCCAGGGTAATCTGACTGACCTGGGGCTCTTTCCAGAAGGCTGTGCAGGGTTCTGTGTCACACCTGCCAGCTCATGCAGGCATCATTGTACTCATCAGCACTTGTACAATTTATCACAATCGGTCTCAGAACTCAGTATAAAATTACTTCATGCAAAAAATATTTTCGAGTCCACTCCCCAGTATTTCAATTTTATCACTTTTTATATTTCATGAACTTCAAAAGACATCCTCTTTACTTCTCTGAATCCCTGTTAAAAACACAGTAGAGTCCCATTTTGCACCTTATTTTTGACCAGCTAAGGTTACTAGGGCTTGTACTTTTGAGAGTGCTTTGATAGAATGAGCAGTTACCTCTAAAAAATTGATACTTCGATAGCTTTATGATCCTATTGAACTTTACACAATGAGCCAAGTGTTAATTCTTCCACAGTTCTGTAGAGAGTGATACCACATCCTTTAGTAGTTTATTGTTTCCTATTTCCTTCATTTCATTCCATGGTCTGCACTTTGCAGTTCTTTTTCCTCTTTAGATTTTATTTTATGTGAGTGACTTATTTGGCCATTCTCCATTTCCTTTTGAGTTTTATTGCCCTTTTCTATTGTATTGATTGCTTCTGCTCTATAGGTTTTTGTCACTGTCAGCAGATCTCTTAGCCCTTATTGCACACTCCTTCTTCTGGGTTACCCATAGAGTAGTGAACAAAACAGGTCCCAAGTAAAATCAGTGTATTGGTGTGCTTGGGGTGCCGGTTCATTACGAAGCACTTTCTCCTCTTGGGGTCCAGTAACATATGTCAATAAGGTTATCAACTTAATGTAAGGGGTTTGATGTCATTTTATCAAAGTAAGTCCCCCATAAGAAATGGGCATAACTTCCTCAAAGTATTCCGGCAGCTTTATTAAAAGTCTCGTCTAGAAAGTACAACCATCCCTTCTGCTGGGTCATACGTAACCTTTGTCTTTGTGTCCCTTAAGAGCCTCTGCGCTGTTTTTCTTCCACCTAAACCAGCTGAGCCATGCCCACATGCCATGTGCACACATCCCACATGGGCACACCTGTGGGCACTTCTCGGGTCAGAGTTAAGGAGTCTCAGTGATAGAGAAGGGTAAGCGGGTGAACAGCAGCAGCCTCACAAATCAGAGGCCAGGTCGTGATCGTTATTGCACCTGCTGACGCCCAGTTCCCAGGGATCCAGTGCCCGGCAAGTGGGGATTTTTGGAGAGCTCTTACGGAACACAAAGGAACAGCAGAGAGCATTAGGCACCCAGTGTGCTCAGGTTCAGGCCAGACTCGCTGCTGTGCTGCTTTATCAACTCCTGCACACCTGTGCTTTTGTCTCATGATCTCTGTGTGGGCCTTCAGCCTGTGTCTGCTTTGGTACATTCAGAACTGGTCAGTCAAATCCACCTCCACTTCTTTAGGTGTCCAAACCAGAAATGCCCATTGCAAAGATCTAAGCAGTTGCATAAACTGCAAATAGAGAATAATGCACAATATTTGGCCCTTTAAGATCAGAGATCCCAAAATAACTTCTCTTACTCCATCTTTTACCAGAAAAAAAACCCAAACCAAATTGTTTCTTTTAGGATGAAAAATAGGCAAAAATATGTACAAGCCTCCCAAACTAATTTAATAGAGAATTGTGGATTCAAATTAAGGTGGACATACACATGAATCTATAACCCATGTGTTCTAAGTAAAAGTTGTATTTTTAATTATTTTCTATTCTTAGGAGATAAGAGCATGTGGAGTGATGTGTAAGCAGGTCTTTAAGAAGGTACAGTGAGCCTACTGCTGATACAGAAGTGAAGAACAGTAGAATTTACAGACTTACCACCAAGTGCTAGTACTGAACATCATCAGTGACAAGAGCAAACACAGAAATGAAGATCACATTAGAAATGTATAATTAGAATGAAATATTTTTAAGAAATAATTTTGAAAAAATGACTGCACATAAAAGTATTTTTAGAAATGCCAATAAAGATACTAAAAGCTGTAAATGTGTGCATATCATCATTCTTGGCTACACCAAAACAGGACTTTCCGGTGCAAAACAAGAGGCTGGAGTTTAAGACCTTGTAAGCTAATTTTTGACTCTCCATAGACATCACCCTTTCATAGCCTTAGCAAGGGGCCTCCACGTAGTCTTGTTGTCAAAAGCTGAAGTGTAGTTGTAGGGAAAAAACTGAGAGCTGTAGGATGAGCTTACACTTACATCAGGAATTCAGTGAAGCCAGTGAGGATTTGACCATTAGCTCCAGTGGAGCAATACAGCACTGGAAGTGTTCCACTAAAAATAAAAATCTGATTTCTCAAAATGAGTAAAGTTGTGGATCAATAGTCTGCCAAAACACAGAAGCATGGCTAAGGGGCAATTCTTTCCTGAACACTTTAGCAAATATCTGCCCTTGCATTTTGTTTTCTTATTCTTGAGAAACTAAGAGTAGGATCACTGCTAGAAGCTGTACATAACTCTACACACACCACACTGCAGAGATGACTGGCACTGCTTTGTACCATATAATTTGCAGAGTTTTTTATGACCCACACAGTCCTCAGTGGAGACTGAGCGTGTAGCAAAGCATTGGCTGAGCAGTTTCCAGTGCTGGTTTAAACATTAGCTGGAGTAATAATCTTCAAAGCACACTGTTGTATTTTCAGTCCATCAACACGCTGGATATACAATTAGCACCACCACTTCACAACAAGTTCAAAAAGAAACAAGGATGCAGGGTGTCTGGTTGGATCAGACCTTCAGTATGTAACAGAATTCCAAGTGTCTCCTAGAACAACTGTTACCAGCCATTTTCCAGGACTCAATCAGTGGGGAAGTTGCTGGGGCAGAGTTTGAGGTGTTTTCTAAAGTGTTCTAAGATGTTCTGTGTTTCCCTACTCTTCTGCAGCTCCTGTGCACAGCATGGCTTTTGCCTTCCTTGGGAACCCAGTGCTGACAGAGACTTTAGAAATGTAAATGGGAACAAATGCTGCCATTCTCTACTAATCAGGGTCTGCTTTAAATTATGCACTAGTATTAATCCTGTTTAGGAGCCTGATCCAACATGAAGGAAAGGAGGTTCAGAAACAGTCATTGTAAACTCTGAGGTCAGCACAGCAGGGATGATAAACTTTCTAAACTATGGTATTTCAGTAGTACTACATTTACAGTGAGTTTAGCACCAGATGTGCTGTAATGGACATCTAATTCAATTTTCTAAAGTTTTGGGGGTTGTTTTACTTCAGAAAATACACAGAAGATATTATTCATGAAGATTTAAGCATCCCCATGTGATAAACAGGTGAAAAATACTCCCTCTCCATGTAAATTCTTGTGTTACTATTGCAACAGGTGTGGCTCATACTACTTAGAATTCCAGAGAATTGTTTACTTTTTTCCCCTGTAATTTTTTTTTCTTGGCAATACTCTTCCTCATACTGAGGAAGTCTCGGGGAATTATTCTTGGCTTAGTCAACCAGAAACATGCAGGAGCTGTTTTCTCACATGGAAGAGTATGTTAGCCATGTGGCTGTGTTTCCATAGCTAAATGGATACCCCTCCTGACCAACAGATAGACCAGCAAATAATGGTGTTTGAGTTTTCTTGTACTTGGAGTGGAACGGGCTACAATTAAATAAGATGGAAAGGTATTAGGAGAGGGGAAAGGATCAGAAACCTGTGGATCTCAGGTTAAAATACTTCTGTGCTTAAGTGAAATTGCAAGTAGTTGTCTACTTAAAGTGCTGCTTATCATCCCATGCAAGGTTGGGGATTTCCCAGTTGCCAAATTTCAGTGCATCAGTGATTTGTTTTCCTTGAAAGATTATTGGACACAGAAACATCTTTCCTTCAAGTTCCTAATTATGGATTTCATAATCATGGACACCCTCCAGGTACCTCCCCAGTCTTCAGCCTCAAGGAAAGCAAGAAAACAATGGAAAATAATGGAAAATAAGTAACTATGTAATAAAGTGAGTTTTGGATAGTGACACCACTATCCAAAGTTAAACTTTGCATAGTTCTTTTAATGTTCAGCACTGACTGAGACCTTTTTTGAAATGTAGTTTTCCTTCAATAGAACTTGGCAGTTCATAACCCTTAATTCACCAGCTGTCTTCTAATTTTTGCCTGCAGCTCTCTGCAGTCTTGTGTAACATTCACAGACTCTTTTTGCAGAAGGTTGTAAGTGGATCAATTAACATCTAGCTAAGTAAATCCAATTGTTAAAAGCTATTATTATTGTAATCAAACAGACAGCTTTTCCCCTTTGGGTCATTTGGTACAAGGGCAAATTTAGCACTGTACTAATAACTAATGGCTTTTCAACCAGGAGCAATGTAACCTGCTGCTAATTATGGAGAAAAGGCAAGCTCACAAAGTACTGCCACAGCTCATGGAGGTAAAATACAGAAACTTCAGAAATATTTAACTTTTAATACATTGGCTTCAAATCAGCTCAATTGCTTGTCATGATAATTGTAACCTCTTATCTCTCCTGCAGCAATCCTTTCCCTTGGAAAAGGAAATTATGTTCATTCATTGCTTCCACCACGATGCTTTCCAACTGATGTGTATAAAATGAACCATGCTGCTGCCACAACCCTTGAACAATTGAAAATGTACCATAAAAATATAGTTTAACACTTTCTCCATAAAATAAATGCTCGCTGAATGTATAACATTCAACAGTCACCTGACAAACATCAGCCTCCCTGACTATTTTCATAACTACTTAGTAGCCAAGACCTTCACAGTGAATTCATATCCAGATTTGCTTACTGCTCAGGAATCAAACTTCATGTCGATTTTCTTGATCTTGCACAGAATTTCAGCTGTGGTTTGCCAATACCAACTCTGTATTTCTGCAGAACTGCATTCCTTCCAGATAATGGAAATTTTTTATTTTGTAGGGAAAGACCAGTGCCCACAGCAGCAGTGGGAATGGAAAGGCAAAAGGGTGCATTGCACCATTTCTAAAAGTTAAATTCAGTATTGCTTTTATTCTGGATCCAGAAACCTCTAGGTGAGAAAAGCTGAAGAATAAAGGCCAATGTGTTCCATAAGGCTGATTGTTCTGCTTCAGTTCCCCCAGCTGGGGATTTGTGTGCATTTTCTAAGTAGGTGTGATCTTCTGAGGATGATTGGGGAACTCACTGCTACATTTTATGGTTCTGTGGCTTTTCAGTGAAGGACACCCAGAAGGAATACATACCTTCTGTCTCTATAGCACATGAAGGCATGTTGTGGGTATGAAACTGCAGCCTTACAGAAGAAGTAGAGAGACAGAACCACGTTTTTAGCAGTCATGGGGCAAGAGAGCAAAATTCGGAGCCTGAAAGTTTGGGATGGCCAAACTTCCTGTGAAAACAGAAGCAGCAACATGTAGAGCCATGAGCAGCCTGCTTATCTTCGCTGGAGATGCGGGGAATTAAATAAAGGATTAATTCAGGTTGCGTGCTTAGAACACACAATGATTAGGAAACAAGGCTTTCACAGAGCAGAACATGAAAGAAATTTCAGTAGGATTTGAAAACATGATCTATATGCAAATGCAAAGGATGAGGGACAGAATTATCACGGAATCATTGACTGGTTTGGGTTGGAAGGGACCCTAAAGACCACCCAGTTCCAACCCTCCTGCCATGGACAGAGACACCTTCCACTAGACCAGGTTGCTCAGAGCCCCAACCAATTGAAACTTTTGGTAGTGGCATTTAAAGAAAACAGGATGGTCTTATAAGAGTACGAGGAGAGGGAAGGGTGAGAAAGAAAGAAGAAAAATGAGTAGCACTAATATTTTTAATAAATTGATCGTGTTTGATAGAATAATCTGTACAGATTATATTTTCATTTGTAAACCAATTTGATTTCTGTTTTATATGAAGAATTCAAAACATACATATTAGTTTTAGTGGGGCAAATAGGAGTGTAAAGCCTTTAACTCACTACTTGAAGACTAGATATTTGATATGAGTGCAAATCTAATCTAATCTAATATAATCTAATCTATACAAAATACATGTGTGTCTATGGACTGTAAATGTTTTGTTTCTGTATTCTAAAAATCCAGGATTTTTTAATAGATAACAAAATATTTTGCCAGCAGGAGAACACAAATTAAGCCAGACTCCATTACCTAAAGAGGTATTTTAATATCAGTTATTAGTGTTATTAAATTAATGGTATTAATGAATCTTTTGAAATGCCTTTAATGTTGCCAGAGCATTTCATCAGCAGATTTATTCTGCAGTGTCATGTGTGCAGAACACCACCCTTTGTGATTTCCATAAAATATGACTAACGTTATACTACAGTGTTCTCCCAGACTCTACTGAGCTGTAGCTGAATCTAGAATATTTTCTCTTTGGATTGATTAACCTTCACCATATTTTTTTTCATGAAACTCTCCAATGACTTGTGGGATCAATGTAAACAAAACAGCCTCTGTCCCTTGTTGAGAAAACACCTCTTTTTGTTTGCTTGAATCTGCTACTTGCTATTATAATGTGCTTTCTCCTAATTCTTGTATTGCAAGAGATACCAAAGAGCCATTCTCTGTCTTGTCCATGCCACTCAGATTTTCTTTACCCCTTCTAGTGTATAAACTTGGCTGTTTTCTTTCCTAGCAGCTTTTGTTTAAAACATCAGAATATCAGTGTTCTGATTTCAGCCCACACCAGTGAAATACTCCATGGAAACACGTGGACTAAGAGCAACTCTTACAACCTAAGCCATGGAAACCAAACTTGAAATAAGAGTTGGGCTTGCAGTCTTCATTTATTCAACAGTCCAGCTTTGAAAGATGGGAAAGAGGTGCTCAGTGTGATCTGTGTAAGTGTTTTATTGTCAAAGAAGCGTGAGGGAGCTGAATGGCAAATCCCTTCAAAGGAGAAGGTGCATTAGATTCCTGAAGTCTCCCATGGGACTGAGCAGCAGAGGGTGATTGATGGTCTACTGGCATGCCATGAATGATGTGCTCCACCAGACACATCCACTTCCATCAAT